CTTGGGATAAATTCTGCGAGTGGCGTAGATATTTTCCAGAAATATCTTCAGAACCCTCTTCTATATTTATAGCATTTCTGCTGATTTCCTCTACAACTTGGGTGTTCTCCACCTTTGCTCCAAGAGTTGTAGAAGAGGCATATTCTGTAATTTCAGAGCTGGGTGAAGCAATAGGAACATTCTGAAGAGGGCAGTTGTTCTTCCATTTAGTAATCTCTCTCTCCTGTATGCGACTGTGGTCACTGTCAACTCTCCACTTTACAGACGCCCTTACTTCTTTGGAAAATGAGGGGGCAGACAGTCTGCGCATCTGTTTCAAGAAACTTGTCCCTCTCTGTACTGGAATTGGTGGCTTTTGGTTGAGGTCTTTCACAGGGTCTTCTTGAATTTGACTAGATGTGTGCAAGCCATTTCTTGTGCATTTATCCTCTGCTTTAATTGGAGACTTCTCTACTGGAGATTTAGTATCTTTCAAACTGTCATCTTCACTGTTGCTTCCAAGGAGAAGATCGTTCTGTAAGAAATATTGTAAGATGGTAATAGGTGCTAGACAATTATGTATATATATATATATATATATATATATATATATATATATATATATATATATATTCTTATCTCTTACAACTCTGGGACATTCTGTTAGTATTAGATATATGCACAGACAATATTTTCAAGTTTTGTTACTGCTATGATATTTTGGATAAGAAATCACACATTTAAAGTGGAACTTTAATCAGAACATTAAGTCCTGCTAGATCGCTTCCTGTTGGCCCCTTTTACAGGTATAGTTATGTAAGACATTAAAAATAAGTACCTATACTGTTTAAAATCACTCTGCTTTACATATGCTCAGTTTTTTTTTAAAGTATGCTGAAAATCAGAGCCACTAAAGGCCAATCTGCTGACAGCTTAAAGATTTATTGCTGCTCAGGGGCCCTGGTCTTCAGCAACATGGCAGCCTCCAGCAAGAAGAAACAGGAACAATGCTGAAGGCAATTTACAGCACACACTTATTTTGGTAGCATAATTATTAACGTGGACTGTATGTTCCTTGTTAAAGAACATTATTTTTATAATGTATGGATCTTCAACTGTATAGGTAAAGTTCCACTTTAAGGGGAAAATACATTTTAATTTTTCTCACCTCAGGACTACCATCTTTCAGACTCCCGACTTCTTCCTCCTCCATGACGTCTGCATGAAGCTCAGCCACTAATTCTCTCAGCGGGCTGTTGTCAGTGACACTAGACAAAAATGGGTGCTTGGAAAAAAACAAGCATTTTTTTTTTACTGGTGGTTTTTTTGTTTATATGTAACCAGAACTATTAGTCATTCTTTATTATAACTAACCTCAAGTAGCTCAGTAGCTGATAAACGATCCTGAGGATTTCTCTGTAAACATTTGTGGAGAAAACTCGTAAAATCTGGTGACCTAGTTGGAGTTAGAAAATTCTCTCATTAATAAAAGATGATAAATTTATATATGAGGTTAAAATACTAAATCTTCAATCTTATTGATCTCAGGGGCCATTCAATTGTTTGCTATTCTGATGTGTAAAGTAATCTTTTGGCTATCTCACATCCATCCAATGGAAACCTGTACTATTAGAAATTTGGAGGACATTCTAATACTAGTTCACTGGCTTCAATGTTGTTGGAGTCACTGAGCTGGAACAAGTGTGCAGATTAGAAGGTCAGAACCCTTCTGCATACTAGTTTCTGGCCAGTGATTACGTACCATTTTCAGAAGGAAAGACTGGAAGTGAGGCCAACACTGTTGGAACGTCTGTGTTTATGAAGTGTTTCCCTGAGATTTTGAAAAGTGCTCTCTCAGTTTGCACCTTCATTTGGGTGATTTGGGCTGTGCTATGCTCTCCACATAATACAAGGTTCTCAAGGTTAAATGATGATATAAAAACATTAAACTCTAATGGACTTATGATAAGCTACCATAATGGTTTTCATATGTCTAACAGGAAGGGTGTTTGGGTTTTTCACAGTCACTGGTTAGGTTATTCGTTTCATTCTATAACCACCACTAAACAAAATGGCAATTGGAATATGTTTACTTGTTATGGATATTATATACTATGTCTAGTCAAGCAGCTTTGATTAAAGTGTCTCATATTTTACAAAACACATCTAATTTAGAATATAATTTCAGGACACATCATCCAGTTGTAAACAAGAGTTGCCTTCTTACCACAAATGACGATACTTCAGACTAGGTGGCTGCGACTTGAGAATCTTCAGCAAGACGCGAGTTGGGTTCATCTCATGGTTTGGTGGTTGAGTCTCAGCCAGCTCAATAAGAGTGACACCTAGAGACCATACATCAGCCTTATAATCATATGGAGCATCTTTGCACGTCTCACAGGTCACAACCTCTGGTGCCATCCTGTAACCATGAAAGAGGACAGTGCCATGTAAAGCAGGGCTCTGACTTACCAGTTATAAACACAACAATGCAAGTGCTTCAGTGCACTTTTCAAAGCAGTAGATTAATTAGATTAAAACTAATTATATTATATGGATTATATTAAAACTGTTCTTACGCAGATAGTAATGATTTTAGCTGTTAATATTAAAATGCAAAAACAGGCAGTTATTATATTGACATACAGTATATAGGTATGAAGACTGCAATGTGAAGGTATGATATGACTTTTTAGGTCCTAGGAAATGTACCAACCCCTTGATAAATTGGCATTATACAGTCTGCAGTTGGTGGTATGTACCTAGACTTACTGATTTAAAGTGCATTTTTACTTTTGTAGCCAAATTAGGATACCTATCTATCTATCTATCTATCTATCTATCTATCTATCTATCTATCTATCTATCTATCTATCTATCTATCTATCTATCTATCTATCTATCTATCTATCTATCTATCTGTCTGTCTGTCTGTCTGTCTGTCTGTCTGTCTGTCTGTCTGTCTGTCTGTCTGTCTGTCTATCTATCTATCTATCTATCTATCTATCTATCTATCTATCTATCCATTCAGTCATATCCGACCCTTGGCGATTGCATGGACTGTCACTCGTAAGTGACTTTTTCCATGAATTCTCTTAGCAATTATTTTTACAGGGTAGGTTGCCAGGTCTTTCAAAGTAAGATAACACCTTAACAATTTTTTAAAAATTCCTTAACACCTAAAAATTCCTGATTACATTGTACTTGCTATTTTCTGAGATCTTCAAAACTGTTTTGCTTATGCTATGCAATGTTAAGGAGGGGGCTGTGGAGCTAGGGTAGCCATACATTATACAATTTTCTTCAATTTCTTTTAGATTTACCTTCAACGGTGTAGTGCAAGGACCTGCCTGATTATATATAAATTGAAAGTGTTTTGGTTTGACCTCATATTATATGACTTTGATAAATCTAAAGGAAAATCGTACATGGAAATTATATAAAGTATGGCCAGCCTTAATGTTTTCCATAATTAACTCTGTACTGTCTGTCTGTACTGTTCTGGCAGCTCTTATTCTCAATTGTGAACAAGTTTTGAACACTTTCTGTCCTAACAACGGGTTAAAGACATACAAGTTTGGCTTCTGTAATGTATTTTAATGAGGGGATACTCATGTGTGTCCCCAGTCTATGTAGGCAGGCAGACTCACTTTGAAATTGTTCAGAGTAGCTTGCAGTCTGCCCAAAGACCTTTTCGAAAGAAACATCTAAAAGGTAAGAAATGTTAAAAATATATATTTTTAGGTATGCTTATTAGGCTCCAATGTACTAGTTATATCAAAATTTTCTAAGACCCTGCCCAAGAACAAGAGGTCTTAGAAAATATTTGAATGCTACCTGATTACAGAGTGCACTAGGCACTGTGTACAGGGAATGGAATCTTACATTAACTGACTCCATTTTAGGAAAACATATTTAATAACAAGCAAGATCACAGTGTTTAAAGCAGAATAAAACAATCCAGATATCACTTAAATATTTAATCGGTTCCCTGCCACCCTGGGATGCAGGGCTGCACAAAATCATGTTTATGGTAGGGTAAAGTGAGCGCTCTTGGCAAAGCAGCTGTTGCACTAAAAGGTAACCAAAAAAACCTTAATAAGACTGTATATGTAAGGAGTGCAGCGCTAATAATATGATAAGAAAAAGTAATAAATCAAGTTCATAAATTTTATAAAATAAAGTTTTCATAAAAGGTGCATTTTTCCTTGTAATAAAAAATTTGTACCTGGAAACAATGTTATAAATACGCACTCACCAGAAGCGCATAGGAAATGCGCATATAAATATATCGACCGTGGACCTCTTAGGCAGGCGGGGTATGGCAGGTAACTGATGAGCTTCCTTCTAGGAATAAGTCAGAGCAGCAGCAGGTCTTGGGTTTAAGATAGAGATCTGCCGATAGAGATGATTGCCTTTAGGTTGGATGGGTGCTCTGCTGGTTACAGGGCTACCTCCCTCTGGATGTTAATAGGTGAGGGTCATCTGTAGGCTTAATAGCTCATAAAAGAGTCACAGAACGAATGCCCATAGTGTAGTAATTTAAAATAACTTTATTCCAATCATAAGTGTGTATAAAATGAGGGTACAATGCAGAGTAATAGGCAGCACTAACCCTTTTTAAAGATGGCCACCAGACCTCCTCGTGGGCGCCGCCGGGACCACGAAGGAAGCTCATCAGTTACCTGCCATACTCCGCCTGCCTAAGAGGTCCACGGTATATATATATGCGCATTTCCTATGCGCTTCTGGTGAGTGCGCATTTATACCATTGTTTCCAGGCACAAGTTTTTTATTACAAGGAAGGATCCAATGCACCTTTTATGAACTTTATTTTATGAAATTTATGAACTTGATTTATTACTTTTTCTTAACATATTATTAGTGCTGCACTCCTTACGTATACAACAAATTCATGTATATATATGTGATTTGCATTTCTGGGTAGGGGGCGCACGCACCGCCACCATTAACGGCTTCGGGTGACAATTACCGGATCCCAGCTAGAGATTCCCCACCAGCACCCAGCGATCGCCGTGTAGAACTGAAAGGGGAAAGACCTGTGTGTAAACAACACAGGTCTCTCTCCTGCCAGCAGTAATATGCTGCTGTGTATTGCTCTGTACAGCAGAGAAATACACAGCAGCATGTTTCCCTAGTAAAACACACACAGCACACAGTTAACCCTTTGATCGCCCCAGATATTAACCCCTTCCTGCCCAGTGTCATTAGTACAGTATCAGTGCTTTTTATTAGCATTGATCACTGTATTAGTGTCATTGGGGATGTCAGTGGCAGTTAGTCAGTTCCCACCAAGTGTCAGAATGCCCACCGCAGTCCCGCTATAAGTTGCTGATCGCTGCCATTACTAGTATCAATCAAGTACAAATTAATTGAGCTCACCAATAAGGCGTTCCAATAAAGGAGCTCCGTCTTTGTAGCGTCTGACTGTTCACCGCAGAGACACCAAAATCCGCTTTTATAAAAAGGAAACAGATCATGTGATCACACATATGTAAAAGGAAAAATTAACATAGTAGTCTCATGAGACACTATATTTTCAATGGACATTATCTCACTTGAGAGACTACCTATTCTACACTATTGGCATATTGGACCTGTAAGGAAGTCGCTGTTGCTGTTACTGCTGCTGAACATGGTGATGATGATGATGATGATGATGATGAAACAAGATAAAAAATAGAGAACACTATTTTGTTCTTTACATTTTTTTTGTATTCATAATCTTTTATGCAATGTATTTGGGCATTGACTGCAACAGGTACTAAGTGTGAAGTAAGGATATCACCAGAAGCAGACAGCCATCAACAGATTTTTTTGAGATTAGTAAAGTTACACACATCTATGTGTTGCAGAAGCATACAATAATACATAGTATTTTCTGTGGAGAGTTGCAGTACCATTCATTTAGAATGGCTCCCAAAGCCCCAGCACAGTAGCCTGCAGCACACCATGACGCTCATGCTACATTGAAAAATTGCTGTTAATCCAGTTTTTCATCTGTTGCTTTTACAGCCCACTCAAAATGTATCATACTGTACCACTGCAGAGCAGCATCAGGACTTCCAACATGCAGCAGGGGGATGGGGCAGATGGGAAGAGTTTTATGGAAGTCTACATTGTGAATCAAAGTCTATCTATCTCTTCTAATAATAATCTCCTGTAGGGAGGCAAACAGCGAGGGCCTAATTATCCTTGTAAATTGTGGCAATACATACTAAAACATGCTTTACCACAACTCATGGCAATGCATCTGCTCTATGTGCGATGCCTTTCAGTTTGCATGGCACCTTAACACATTGTACAGTAGGACCAACAGTAGAGTCCACACCATGCAATAATGTATGTTGTGGTGTGCTACATTGATAAAAAAAAAAAGGGTCACCACATTTTCTTCATTGGTTGTGTTGTGTTGTGTTAACAACCCATTCAAAAACGTGCCATAACACGTGTTAATGCTTCTAAATAAAATACTTAAGTGTGAATGATCCCTAAAGAATAATTCACTTACAGTTTTGTAAAGGGTGTTGAATCACCATGGCAAGGAATTATGGATTTTCAAGCATTCACCATGCATTAGGTAAAGCATTGATGCTTTATTCTTTGCCATCTCTATGTACAGTTCACAAATTCAACAAGACAACATCTGTGCTGTCTTGGCTTGTTACTTTAGTTTGAAGCTCACCACATACATTACAATCCGACTTTACAATTTGGGGATGGAAAGGCAGAAATAGTTTGCCTAAATCTGAAGTAGTACACCTTGAACTGATGACTAGAACATCTCTGAAGACCAAATGACCTACTATATTTTATTGCCATTAAAGCTGAACTCCAGGTATGGATTTTAATGCATAATTACATTGGTAAGGCATAGACCATTGTAAGTATGCATATGCCATATCTGTGGGACTGCTGTACAAACAAAGAATCATTGTACAGTAGTAGTCACCACCACTACAGTGATCATCGCTGTCTTCTGGGTCCCCTGCTGAGCGGCTTCCCTGCTGCATAGTAACAACAGGGGGTCTCTTGTGTGGCATGACCCCCATTCACAGAACACCTTGCATTCATCTCTATGGATGCAAAGCGTTCTCCGATTGGACAAGGTAGAGATCATAATGTCATCTCACTGCCTCTCCAATGTTTGTCAGTTTAGCAGGAACAACTCAAATGTTGTTCTATTCTATGGCTGTTCCTGATAAGAGAAGTAGACCATTAGTCTGCAGTGCAGATCAGTATATTCTGACAGCGAAGAAGTCCAGCTGATTCCTCCACTGTCAAAAAACAGGACACAGCATGGAGGATTCCCGAATTTACTTCGAATGTGCAGATGGAGAAATCGGCTCAGTTTTTTCTGTTCAGCCCACTGGCTGAATGAAAAAAAAACAATAAACTGGAACATGTATGGCCAGCCTAACAGTTCAAGTAAACTATGGGATTGGTGCTAAGGATAGGTGGCCATGCTTATGCGCCTCCCTACCTGCAGTTTTGACCATGGTTTTCACTATCTGTGTCTGCTGAAATAAATTGCCAGCAGTATTAAGGCTATGGTCTTCAAAGGAAAGGCAGTGCTAGTCTATGGACCCACCACTCAGAGCCATCTGTGACCTGCCAGGCTGCTACTAAACCATAAGGGATGCTCTCCCTTTTGCCTGCAACTAAAAACCCAAGACTAAGAGCGGTGTTCCTATACATTCCACTCTTATAATGCCAACAAATATATCCCATGAGCCACAGAGCTGGCTATGAATGTAAGACCACAGTCAGGCACTAACAAATGATCTGACCAGTGAAGATCTTTTCTTTTCAGTAGGTACATTAGTATGCATGCTTTTGGAGAAATTTCACAGGCCCTTTGGTAATGAGTCAAAATAGGTATTTAGCCTTGGTGCATATAGGAAGGATCAAAACATTCTTATTGAAGTACAACTGACAACTGTCTCCAATTTCCAGGAACAATCTCAGTTTGTAGAGAGTTGCTTTTGGCCTTTTGCTTAATTTAACACTGAACAATCTCTTTTCAATGTTACATTCTGTTTGTACTATGGAATGTAATATTTAAAGAAGAGTAATTGAAATTAAATAAAATATTTCTAATTTAATTTGGTATAAGTGAGATGATGAGAATATATGCTTTATTATGGACTTCAGAGAAACTAGTACAAGTAACATGAGTACACTGTTCTAGTGAGTGCAAGTTTAGCTCACTGATTGGATGGAAACAGATGGGGAGTCTAGAGAACTTTGGTGGTTGCATAGGAGAGGGGGCCTGTGGCATTATCATAATGCCATAGTTTCCACTACCCCATGCAGCCACAATACAGTAGTGTCACAGTCCCTACCCTTCACCCCTGCAGCTGCCTGGGAAGGTGTTGTGCAGCACTCTGGAGGAAGTGCTTATGGCCTCTGGTATAGTTCGGGCATATTTACCACAAGGTAAACAAGGCATTTGCCTAGGGTGGCATTTTTCAGGGGGGCAGTGTAGCAATATGTTATATGCTGTTTATGGCCTCTAGGGGTCTCACTACTTAGATACTGGTACAACTGTGTTATTGCCTCTCTTTGGTTGTAGTTCTAGGGCAGACACATGTATAATGGCAGCTAGAAGCACCTAATAAAATGTCTCCTGTTAACTACAGTGTGTGAGCATCTGAGCAGGATCCACTAACAGAACATGGTGGCAGCTGGGCACTGAACCTCTGAATAGCAAGTCTTCTGTCTACAAATACAGATTGTGTGACACTGGAACTGTACAGAGAATCAGCAACTGTAAGTACAGAGTCCCTATCAGACTGCACTATGGAGAGTGGCCTGAAACCCCCTCAGAGACTGGATGTCACTTCTTCCAATCTCTCACAGACATGGAGACACTGGAAGGAAGAGTTTACTCTGTATGTGGACCTGACAGTGGCACCCAGAGATGAGCAGAGGGAAGTAAAGCTGTTTTATTACTTGATTGGGGAAAAAGGCAGAGAACTAGCCGAGACCCTGCTCACAGACAGCATGGCACTGACAGACATGCTGCAAGCATTTGATAAGCACTGTGACCCCAAAAAGAATGAGACGGTGGAGAGATACAAGTTCTTCTCAAGGAATCAGGAGATTGGGGACAGTGTGGACAGATATGTGACAGAGCTGAGGAGACTGGCTGCAACCTGTGGATTTGGGGACATCAGGGACTCCCTTATCCGAGACAGGATAGTGTGTGGCATCAGAGACTCTCACCTCAGAGAAAGATTACTGAGGGAGGAAGAGCTGGCGCTGGAGAAATGTATACAAATCTGCAGGGCTGCAGAGCTGACTAAAGACAGGCTGAAGATGATGGAGGGCACCAGTGATGCCTCAGTACATGCAGTATCTGTGAAAGGCAGAGCAAGGTCCAGGCTCCCTGTGAGCTCAGTCCAGTGTAAATACTGTGGCAAAAGACATGAGAGAGACAAAGAGAAATGTCCAGCGTATGGGGAGTCCTGCAGGACTTGTGGCAAGATGAACCACTTTTCAGCTGTGTGCAGATTCAAAACCAGCAAACTGTACGGACAAGTCCACACAGTGACCCAGGACACAGACGAGGACAGCACAGAGGGCATCACATGGCTGCAGCTGCAGTCTGCAACAGAGAACGTCAATGTAGTCAAACAGCCAGTAGCCAATGATGCAAAGCAGCTCTTTGCCATATTTATGGTGGACGAACAGCCCATAAGATTTCAGCTGGATTGTGGAGCAAGCTGCAATGTCATTCCATTTACTCTGCTTAACAAACAGGTTCCCATTGAGCCCACTGATAAGGTACTGGTCATGTACAACAAAAGTGTTCGGAAACCCATGGGAACATGCAAGCTAAAATTAAGAAATCCACGTAACAGAAAGAGCTACAGAGTGGAGTTTACTGTGTTGCAGGAGGACGATCACATTCCTTTGCTGGGAGTTAAAGCAGTTCAGGCTATGGACTTAATAAAGGTGCAGTCCCATAACATCATGGCTCTGGAAGTTTCTGACAATACTCAAAATCCTACACAAAAGGCAGAATACATTTTGGATTTTCACCACATAAAAACAGAGTATGCTGATTTATTT